CAAAATTAAAAGCTTAAAAGTAAAATCAGATCATGAAAACGAAAAAGCTTATTTGAGCTGCTGCTGGCCATCCCTGCCTGCCCAGACACCGGTCTTCATCACACACCTTTCTCAGAGACCCCCAGACACACGCACCTGCTCACACCGGAAGGAAAGAGTCCTGGAGCTGACTTCTTTCCGTTTCTCCCTGTTCACCTTTTAGGTTCCATCTTAGACGTCACTTCTCCCAGAAGCCATCCTCTACCCCGCCCTCCAGGGCAGCGCTCTGCTCACTCACGGCACGATCCACGCAGTGAGCACGGGAGTGCATCTTCCTGAGTTTGTCCCATGAGGCTGCAGCCACCCTCAGTGGCAGGGACAGGTCTCTCCTGTTTTACTACCCTATGTTTTCACGTAGCACATTTAGTAAATATTCGTTGTCACAATAGCTTCACTTCAAACTCAGGAATTCCCTTCCAAAAACAGCCTTGCAGTCTGAGTCCTGGGTATAATTATGAAAAGGAGACTTTTCAGCTGAAAACATTTGAAAGCAAGCAGGGGGAGAGACCAGTGACCACAGCGGAGCCACAGGAGGACTGTGACACCCCCCCCCCATTCGGGGCACCTACACGCTCCCCAGTGGGGACTGGGCTCAGACGCACGCCTAAGGGCTCGGGGCTGTCCCGAGACGAGCACACCCTCTGAACGTGGACACGAGCGCCACACGGGATCCAGCAAACACGCCCATGAGCTGATGTAAGAACAATCCAAGAAGGTTTTGGCAGTTGCTTCGATGCAGTGAAATGGGAACTGGCTGGATGACTGGAGACAACAAATGACACTTACCACCCAAATGGCATTCAGTGAAAAGCAACGTTTACAGCACAGCATTCTATCACTTAGTGACTAAGGATTTTAAAATAAACACGAAGTTCCTTTTAAACAGAAATGGAAAAAAAAGAAAAAACACTTCATAAACTTCCTGGCAAGACTCTTAACATGAAAGTCCCCATCTAGGGTTAGATTGGAGTCCCTGAGACCGCAGCTCGCAAACCAAAGGTTCCAGAGGATGCACATTTGAACCTTCACTGAGCTTTCTCCTCTTCCAGGGGGAATAAATTAATCACAGGCAAAAAGGGAGTATTCTGTACCTTCCAAGTGATCGACAAGTCACTCCATACCCCTCAAGCTGAAAGACTCAAGGGCTTGCTCCATGTGTGTGCGCCTGCTCCCTTTTTTGGCAAGGAAGTAAAAATCTATGCGAAACACTACACGTCTGCCTTATAATTAATTTTCCGATGCCTCACCTATACGTATTTTAATAATTCCTGATTTATAAGATGGTATCTCTAATAAAATTTTCTATTTTCCCATCAGTGAAAAGGCAGCTTCTCTCTGGCAACAGAGTGTCACACAATATCTGCTTGTCAGGCACCAATTTTTACTTCTTACATGTAAGTTAAAGGATAAGGAATTTATAATGCTGCCTGTGAAGGGAGCCACTTTTCATACACAAATGTGATCTTTTTTTTTTCCCTCAAAGGGTAATACAACAGTACATTTACATAAACTAATCCAAACAATCTATGTATTTGACAATGGCAAACCTCACACAGACGGCCTATTGTTGGTTTACATCTTGGAGTTCTTTATATTGGCTTGTAGCACTGCTCTAGCTGTCAAAGGTTTGACTTGGACTCCAAATAAATGGTTATAGAAGAGCTGTGCGGCGATATTGGACTTCTTTGCAAAAGAAAACCCACTGTGTATGAATTCAAAAGCTATTAATTTTTCAGTCAAAAATATTCGTGCCTATTTCTTTTAATAAAGAAACACTGTGCTGAGCTACTCAGAGATAATGTTGACTAGTGCTAGGGAATTTTCAATAGAGCAGTTAAAAATAAATTTAGTAGGAGGTCCCCTTCAAAGTTATAATTTTCTAGCATGTAAAACATTTTTTTTAAATACTAATCAAGACAAACCTTCCTTCCCTGTGCATCTCCCCCACGACTCCTTTTCCCTGTTTATTGGCTGCTTAACACGGGTCCTCGTGGAGATGCCCAAGGGCCGTTTTGTGGTCCAAGGAGGTTTCTGCACGTGGCGCTCCCTGCAACACCCAGCCCCACCACGCGCTGGGTGACCCGTGGCGGGTTCTGCGATTGCTTCTCTGCTTTTATCCCTCCTCTTCCCAGGGAGCCCCACGATCCTAAGTGAGTCCATTCCTAGAGGACTGAGTCCAAACATTTTCCTACTCTTCACATTTAACACCTAATCTCATCTCACCGTTTGTAATACGTGGAGGAATGAGGCGATAATCTCGTTCTCTCCCTGGTTGCTAGGTTTAAAGATGCAAACCCTCCATCCTGGGAAAAAACATCTCCCTCACCAACAAAAACCAGCTCAGACCTCCAGAGAGACAACATCAGAACTGAACATCAGTTCAGACCATCAGTTCACTCAGCAATCGGCTGTGCCCACTGGAGAACTCAGTGGGATCACGTCAGGATCTTATCAATTTGCTCAGCTGGGTTCACACTATTCCCTTAAAAGCAGCACTTGATGAGAACAGCACCGAAAAGCACAGCAGACGACTGGCCCCACAACACCGGCTGGCCCTTCGCCCCCTTTCTTTCAGGTAGCCCACACACTGGGTCCTCCAGCCACTCACTGCAACACGCATGGAAACTAAGGGCTCTTTCCTAGTAAAAACGGATGCGCAAAGTGTTTAATGATTTTATGTCCTATATCTCAGTAATGTGTTCTGTTTCAGACATTAATTTTGTCTGCCAATTGCATCTTGGCAGGCTACCATATTTGCTGGGTTAATAGTCTGACTCCGTTTTATTTCTCTCGCCATAAATCATACATATATGGGTGTATGTTTGCTTTATTTATAGAAAAAAATCAGTCAAAACAGATAAACCAATACTTTGCCATTATGCTGCATCATTGCATATTGATTAAAATTGCTGGTACTAACTATAGATTGTCAACGCTCAATTAATTTTCACACAGTGACTTCGAGCCAAATCAAATAAAGGCAGTGTACCTTTAAATTTTACAAATCTTAAAAATCAAGAAGCAAAGCACTCTCTCCATTCGGAATAATCGGGTGAAATGTAAGTATATGAGAAATACCACTGTTCAACCGATCAGTTTATAACAAGGCCCCAGCAGGATATGGGGTTCAGATATCATCCTTTCGCTTTGCTGTTAACTTAGATCTGTGTTGTGACAACTCTCTTCGAGGTCAAGTGAGAGGGAACATGGCAAGAAATAAGAGATTCCTAAAAGTGAAATGTAATTTCAGTGCACCACGTCTGGCCTCCTCACTGCGCCAGTGATTTCCGCTTCAAAGTCTTCAGTAACCATTAGGTGTTCTCCATAGTTCTAGCTTCTGACAGGGTGTTTCCTCTTCCTTTCCTCAGTGACAGTGAGGCTGGACGGAGCCAGCCAGCCCTCACTCCTTTCCTCAGACCCGCTCAGACCCCTGGCTAACCCGGGCTGACGTGAATTCTCCCCTGCATTCTTGGTCTGCCTGTCTCCCCTCTGTGTTTCCACCACTGAGCAATCACAAAGGCTGTGTTTTCTCTTTTTCCCCCAACCCGTGCACTGAGCTTTCATAATATATTTCAGTACCTTGGCACTGCGTCAGTCATCGGTCCAAAGAGCTGACTGTTGAGCCTTGTGGCCAAGGACCATGCCTGAGTCACCCCATATCTACCTCCCTAAGTGCCCGCCGGCTGCCCTCTTCGTGAGAGGGAACCAGAACCTGAGGGAACTTGAGTCTTTCAGTACTCAAAGCTGCCAGACTAGGTGACCCTCCTTCTGATGCCTGGGGTGGGGCAGCAGAGAAGAAACACTGGGGGGCTCTCCCCTCGGCGTCGCTCAGTACTTACGGGCTGCGGGGCGGTTTTGGGTTCGGTAGACTTCACGTGCAGGTGGGTCATCATGGCTTGCAGGCGCTCTTTGTCTTTTGCAAGCTGAGAGGGAGAAAATGCTACGTTTACTTCTTTGAATACAGATGCTTGACTATTCTCACATCCGCAATGATACATATTCCAAATTACCCTCTGGCCCCCCGGCACATGACAAAATCTGCACCACTGCTTAGTCGTTTGGAAAGCTACGTGACCATTCCCAAACTCCAGGTAACTGGAGGTGTTGGTGTGTGATTTCACAACACAAGATGCATTATAGCCTTTAACTGGGAAGTCCTAGACCTGCTGGCACCAAGGAGTCCCATGTAACACAGACGGCTAGAAGACAAAAACGTGAATCATGCCTATTAACCAACCTGATTCATGACGAAGCCACAGGAAAAGGAGCTAGGGAGCTACAACTCATCAATTCGTCTGTTGCGGTTGTGGAAAAACTCCTAGACACAGAGATACACTTACGCAAATCGAGCTTCACCTTTCTTAACAGGTAGGCATAGCTTAAGACAGTGCTGGCAAGCAGTGTGGAGCTGGGCAGGCACCGAGCCTCGAGGGTTGACAAAGTCCCATTTTCAAGTGAATGGAAAAGCAGCTTACTCATCGATTTATTCTATGTGAGTACCTACTATGTAAGAGTCTTAACAAAAAATTCAGTCTCCTCATTCCAGAGAACATTATTTTCTGAAGGCACACAAGCTTCTAACTGGAGGTACACAGCAGACACTCAGACACGACTTACTACATACTACTTTCATTATGCTTGCCTTGGACTGTTTCAGACACAGTGGGATCTTTGATAGTTCAAGATAGTTGGGCATAAGGGACAAATAATATTTACCTCTGCAAAGAAGTAGGAAGTGTATCCCCCAAAGATACAGGTAGTTAAGTTAACAACTGTGGAATTCTGAGAAAACGCAGGAGAGAAAGAGAGGAAAGGAAGGAGGTGGGGGAGGGAGAGATGGAAGAAAACCCTTAGCTCAGTACTTTCATAGACTCTTTGTCCAAAATAATGCCTTAGAACTGGGGAGGGACTCATTCTTTCATTGTCACATAGTTATTGTCAAATCTTTTAAATATCGATTCATTTTTTAAACTGAAGTATAGTCAGTTTACAACGTGAATTTTTCAAAATCTAAAATTACGCCCCCCCAAAATCAAGATTCATTTTAAAATAAGGGGTGTTTTTTTAAGGGAGAGGGGTGTTTCAGAGAAGAGGGAAAGTGTACAAAAACAAGAAAGAAAAAGCCTTCGGCTTCCCCTAATTGGATGACCCAGTCTCCAGCCATATCACATTTGATTTTTTTTTTCTTTTTATTCCCTTGTGGTTCAGGGAGGAATAAATTAAGAAGAAAGAAAGAAAGAAAAAAAAAAAGCCTTACAGTGTAAGCATTTATCTTTCAACAAACAGGAAATGAAAATGATACCATATTAGGAGCCACTTTATGTTATTCATCCTCTGCTCTTTACTAAGTTACTGAACAGCCAAACTCGAAGATGCTCTGAACACATAATGCTAAAGGAATTCAGTTTTCCAAAGTGGCTCAGTTAGAACAATTAAAATGTTCGCAAGGCCATTTTTCTACAGTTATTAGTTTTTTATGTAAGTGTTCTAGGTTTTTCGATGTTACAACTAAAACATTCTGAAATTTTCAAAAAATTAAAAAAGTTTTGTTTTAAAATTCTCCTGGGGCAAAAGGAATGAAGTCATATATGGCATGCTTTTGAAAAATAAGAAGTTGTCTGTTGTACTGCACATTATACATTAAAGGGTGAGAGGTGATATTTACTGAAGAGTCTGATGAATATTAATTGTGACTTAATTTGGGGGTAAACACTGTTGACGTAGCAATTACAAAGACCAAGTGGAAGGAAATCTACATTCCCAGCACCAAAAGAAACCATCACCTGCCTGTTCCACCCACGTGTCTGCCAGGCTGACCTCTCGCTGGTCAAAGGTAATGATGGCGCCCACCTGGAATCCGTATACACGGTCACGTCCGTCACCCTGGCTGTTTACTGCCACAGGGCATCTTTTCTTATTTTTCCATGAAACTATCACTTAGACTTCAACCTCCACTTTAAGAATTATCCAGATTCCTTCTCTCCCCTCAACTTCAGCTCTGCTTTCCTATACAAGGTGGGCAACGTTAGAGAGAGGCAAAAATCCAAATTTTTCTTTTTGTTTATTACTGCAAACTACAGGTAATACACATTCTTGGAAGAGTTTTGGATTTTTTTTATCATCAATAACAGCTCTAACACAAACTGATGTAACAACTGAAGAAAAAAAATTCACCAAATTCATTCTCTGGGTTTTTATTTTTTAATGGAAAATGGCTAGAAAGTCACACCCATTGAAACCATGTCCTCTCTCTACAGTGGCTGTCTTGCATTTATAATATTCGCTGGTCCTTCAAAACGCGTTCAGATTGTTTATTACTGTTTATGCCATCATTCCATGAGCTCACCATCCCCATCAATTTTCATGGCCTCCTTTCATTATCACAATATGAGAATACAAACATTTAATATTAGCAAGTATACTTCAGCATTCCCTCACCCACTGAATCCCATGACAAGCCAAGAAAACGCGGATAAGAAATTCAGTCCAAAGGTCAACTAAACATTTGGCTAACAAATTTAAACATTTTTCTTACGTTGTGATATCAGAAGAGAATGACTGGCTCCAAGCTTTCCTGGGGGTACAGGAGGAGCAGCTGGCATAAAAGCACTGAAAACAGACCCCACATTAAGGGGAGCTGCCTGTCACCAAGTCAAGAATGACAGCAGAGTCAAAAATGGGTTAAAAAGGACGAGAACACAACAATCAAACTGCACTGGATTCGAATCCTGGCTCTGAGACTCCAAGCACATTATGTAACGTTTTTAAGTATTTCATTTCTCCTTCTAAATATGGAATAATCATCTTCGAACTTTAAAGGGTTCTTTTGAGGATTAAATAAATTCTTGCACATAACAAGCTTAGCATAGAATCGAGTGCTTCATGAATGCTCAAAAAATGCCTTTTTTTTTTTAAGAAAAAGGAGTTAAATCAGGCTAGTCTACCTAGACTTCTACTGGCTGAGTAGATGTTTGGAATTGGGATCAACAGAACAGGTTTGATGGAGTCTGCAGCTGCGCTAACTGGGGAGAGGGTTTTTATATTTTCAACACAGAAAGATGAAACCCATTTCCCATGGATTGATTTCCTTGCTTCTCACTGTCTCTGTCCCTCATCCCAGGCAAATGCTTTTTCTCCCCTCGGCTGACATAGGTCGTCCCCTCTTCTATTACCCATGGCTTCAAATAAGGTTTCAGATGGTCCGCGCTGGGGAAGCCCAGAATAGGGTATCGCTCCAGACTCGCTGATAAGCGCCGAAGGCAAGGAGCCCCATTCACCATCTTCAAAGATGAAAACTCAGGAGATTAAGCTCATTCTTTTAGCAGAGACATGGGAATGTGGTTTGGGGTTCATTTAACACAATCATCTTCTAGGTTGTCAGGAGGACTAACCATTTTAAGCCCAATTTGGCGGTCCTCACTTGTGAGAAAAAAAAAATTCTTCTGAAGTAAGTGGAGGAAATTTGATGTGGAAAAAAATTGAGGACAGAGGAGAAGGGGCCAAGTCACTCACTCGAGTTCACAGAAGCCAAGTGGTGCTGGCTCTTGTGGCTGTTTCAAGTCCCCTAGGCCTGGTGTCGTGTTTTATAGCTGGGGAAACTGAGGCTCACGGGGTTAACTTACCCGCGGTCAGCGAGCTGGGAAGGAGCAACAGTAACACTAGAACCTGGTTATGTGATGGCTGGTCTGACTTTTGCCATTCTAGCATAACACTAAGTACCACCTGGGACACTACCTGAAAACCCAGATCTTTGCCTGCCCCCCTGGCGCATCCCCCTGCCAGCTGAACTCCGTACGCAGAACCGCCACAGGACGGGTGGGACGTGCAGTGTTAGCAGGCACCTGGTTTATGACGAGGCAAGTCTGGATTATTCGGAGACAGTGCCGATCCCTAATGTGACAGACTGGGGTCTCACCCACACTCGCTAAGCCCAATACTCCAATGGAGGGAGGCGGGAATAGGTGGTTCTAATCAAGACCCCAAGTGTCCAAGGTTAATGAGGTACATCTGGGGGACACTACTCTCTTCCAGGGGCCGTGTATGCCTTCCACAGTGGCTGCCTAGATTTCCTCAGCTGTTTCGTGTACAATGATGGTCTAAACAGAGCTGACTCAGGCAGAATGCATCTCACTGCAAGTCTCTTAAGTGCATACGATTAAAAGAAGGAACACAAGAGGGAAAAAACCAAACAAACAAAAACAAGACTGGAAGGAGGAGAAATGAAACTGTCCTACCAAACTGAGCATTTGCCAAATAGTTATTTTCAAGTCACTCTCTCAAACGGTGCTCATTCACAGGCCTTCAGAAGCAGAAACTGCTGAGAACTTACAAAAGACTTCTTGAAGGCCAAGAAAGCTCTCAGGTGGGAGGCAACCTATGGCTCATTTCACCCCAGCCCAAGAACTTCCCGACTTTTATTGTACTCTGTCACCATCTCAACATTCCTCATGTGTCATTATTAAAGACTCTCTTGACATGTAAAGCAGACACACACGAATACTCTGTCACAGTCTAGGAATTCTAATGCTCCCAGCGTAAAGCAGGATTTTAAATTATGACAAATAAGTGTCTTGGTTTTCAAAAGGGGGATGTGGAAGTGAGAAATGCAGACCCTCCCTCGTTTTTCTTGGCCCCAGTCCTGAAGCCTTGGCCACGTGAAGCTGTGATGCTGTTAGGACTCTTCCTTCCCCATCATGCTCTGTGCTCATTCAGAGCGTCACAACGCTCTGCAAGGCCCCCGCTGTGAGGAACTGTCCTGAGTACTGCTTTGGAGGGGGTGAGAAAGGTCCAAAGGGGGGCCCATTACAGATAATATATTTGCCAAAGTCTAGGAAGTTGGTGTGATTACAAATAGCAATGCTAATGGTAGAGTAATCACATGTACAGTTCCTACAGTAACGCATCTGTGTTCAGCTTCCAATCT